TAATGATCATTTCCAATTTCTCTCAGTTATTACTCAGTCCTCTCACAGTGTATGCACAGTTAACTTTTTTGTTCTCTATATATTCTTTATATTCGCTCATCACAGAGTACCTAATTAATGAATTTCATGTCTAAGTAGCTGTACTGGTGTGACTCCCTTGACCACTTTTTCTTCAGCTGCAAGTTAAATACCTTCAGAGCATGGATAAGTTCAAGAAACCCAGAAAACTGATTTTTCCCTTACCACCAAGAAAGAAATTGCATCTTCTGCAAGTCCTCTCCCACTCTGGGAGATGGTCTGATGCTACAGGACACATCACGCTACCCATCAGGCCCGTGACTCACTTTCTGCATCTTCTATCTTCTTTCTTACTGCTTTTGGAGTTAGGAGAAGTCACTGAGAACGTCCTGCCCTGTTTCTGTCTCCAACCCCCTTTGGAAATCCTAGAAGCCTCTAAAAGTATGTCATCTACAGCCACATCATTCCTGTCGGTGCTGACTAGGACTGGTCTAAACAGCCTTTGTCTATTCATATAAATGTGAGTAATGGATTGAAAAAAGATTGAAAACTGTTGATCTGGGCATAGTAATTTTAGTACTGCATATACATACGTAATTGTCTTTCTCTGTAAATGGGAAGTGAAAGAATACTGCAATGCTCTAATTCAAACCCAGCTATGCCTGCTAGAGTTAAACTGCTAGCACCTCGACAGAATGGGGGGAGCTCTGCTATCCCTCTCCTCCCTCCCTCCCTCCCAAGGACTTTCCCACCTACCTCAGCTACCTTGCTAGCACAGTCAAGATTTTGCCTCTGTTATGAGTTTAGACAGCACTCTCATTCTCAAACACTGCCAAAAACCCCCACAGTTGTAAGCGTATATACACAACTGCATGATCCTAACCCTACAGTCTCTCTAGACATCTTGTCTGCTACGTCTTTATATCAGGGTATCAGAACAAAGCTCAACTTCAAATTAATCTCCCAATCTAAAGGCTTTAAGAGAGCCAAATGACATGAAAAGAACACCGGATTTTGAATTACCAACCCAGCAGTATCACTGTGTAACTGCCCGTGTTTTCATACATAGGGAATAGGAGCACAATCCCATCAGTCCTGGTGTTACCAACCAACATGAATTTCCCCTTCCAGTAAATCTTATCACTTCCTATAAATATAACAAAAATTGAACACAGTTTTGAGTCTTTATTTCAGCAGAACTAGCAAGAAATACCGCTTGCAATTCATGTTACCGATGCCTATACAACGATGACTGTTGTTCCAGGGTGTTTGTGCAAGCATCATAATGGTTTGGTCAAGACTGCACATACAGAGGTTTTAGTGGCTTATTTCTTAGAAGGAGGGTTCATATACTGTCTTCTGTTGAAGTGAAAATCCAGTAAGTTCTGGCACATGTTGAAGACCCACAATGTTTCAATGAAAGGAGAACGGTGGAAGAATGAAAGAAAAAAAATGACAAAATAGTTACCTGTTGAGTTCAAAGAAATATGATAAAGAATTAGGCACCAGACTGCAATCTGGATTGCATTTTTTTTTTTTTTAATAAAGGAATACAAAGACTAAGAAATAAGCATTCTTTTTAATGACAATTTTTTTTAATTCCAAAGAATCAGCAAGTTCAATCAGTACTTACAACCCCAAATTCTCATTTTGGGGATAATACCATCAGGTAATTTATTAAAGGTTAAAGACTCCTTCCATATTACTATTCCCCTCACAAGGTGTATTCAGCACAGGATATAGAAAATTAGGAAAACATTTTGCAGTTTAGTTTTGAGAAATACTTCTCCTGGCTTAATCTTTTGTGCCTCAACCATGCCAAATATGCCCCATACCTAGGGACATCCAAGGAACATCAGACAAGGGGAAGGGAAGGAACCTAGGAGAACACAGGATCACGCTGATCCAGTATAAAGCCTAAAAAAGGGCAGTAAACATGGGAGCGGTAGTATTTGCAGCTAGGCAATGAGGAAGGAATAAAATTAATTTGGAAGACAGATTTCTTCATCTCTATCCTAGAATTTTATACGGCATACTGTGCGCTGGGACAATACCTTCTTAGGACAATTTGTTCAGTGGATCTCTCTCTATTTAAAAAATGTCCTTTCTTGTTTTGAACAGAGTGATGGTACAAAATGGAAGAAGGACCCTTGAAATTTCCCAGTTTGCATTGCCAGTATCCCATTATTTTAATCTAAGGTTATCAATAAGCTTGAGTTGCAAGTTTTGGTTTTATGGGTGCTTCACATGGTTAGTGGCAAAGGGGAAAAGAAACACACAGCTCTAAGTATAAAAGGAAGATGAACACTAAGAAAGGGGGACCTATTGGTTCTTGATTTGGACCATGTGGAAAGTCTTCCTCTCTCTCTCTTTGAGAAAGACCCCTAGCAGGCCAGAACCAGATGAAGTATTGATTTGTGACTGAATTCCTCCAATTTTTCTATTTCTGTGAGGGATCCAGCCCCTTCTCTGCTGAGAAGCCCAAAGTCCACAGTCCATTTCTCAGCAGGTAGCTCTGACCTCCCGCAAAAGGAAGTTCGAAGATGTGCATTGTAACTCAAGACGCTTAATGGCATCCTTCACCCTCCAAACTTGAAGCCAGACATTAACACAATTCCAGTGAGTTCAGAAGAAACGGTTATCAAGGAGAAAAATGGTAAGTAGATGGACTAAAAGGCCAACATAGGGGGAGCAAGCTGGTGACGTTGCTACATTCAGTGTCTGCTTTTGAGCTCAACATAAGTGTGTTTGCCTAGCAAACATTCAGCCCAGGCTAGCAGGTTTGCTGGTATATGAGAAAACAGCTCAGCTGCATGTTAACTAGAAGCCCAAAACATCAATACTTCCCTCTAAGTGCAAGTGCAGAGTGGGAAGACGTATGGAAAGTAATTTCCAATTACTAAGTTTCACTTGCATCCCACCACCTGGTGATGAAATCTTGAAGTCCCAAAACTAAGAAAACCTCATTGAACATGGAGGTCAATGAGACTTTTGTCTACAATTGTAATAGCTGTGCTCTCATTAACTTACTAATGTAATTCAATCGACAGTCAAGGTGGCAAAGCAGAAATGAACAAAAAAACCTTGCTGTGTTGCTGGAGCTCTCACAGTTCTCTCATGCAGCCACCCAGTTTTGATTTGTGGCTCCACAAAGTGCACACCACTGCTGTAAGCAGGTGAACAGAAGCATTATTGAGCTGAGGAAAGGGAACTTGAGACACCATTAAATAAAGCTGTCTTCTCCCAAGTGCTGCAGGGATCAGAGCCTAAGAGATCAGCGAAATGATTAAAAGAAAACCAGTGACCATAAGAAAAACAATCCCAGAGTTGTAAAGACAGTTCCCACTCTACTGAATCACAAAATATTTTATTAATTCTAAAATCAATTTCATCAGTCCGGCCCACAGAGACAAAATTTAAAGGTGCTCACAAAAACATTCCATCTACATAGGTTTAGAAAGACCTTGGAAGAATCTACATATGCATCTCGTACAGGCAGAACCCCCACCCCCACCCCCAAATCATATAAATAGATATGCCAAAATGACACGAGCTTATGAGGTCTCAAAGAAAGGGCTGTACATATTTTATAGGAAACATAAACAAAGGCAAATAATGGTAGAAATCCAAAACTAAATGAAACAGATGCCAAGACTGCTGGGGGAAAAAGTTGAAATCTTCATGCTTCTACACATAAGCATACCTCCAGCTGATACAGAAAGAACCCTTCCTTATGAGCTGAAACCCTTTTAATCAACATTGTAATGATGATGGTCAATGACCAAATACATAGCTAAACACACTACTTGTCTGATTGGGTAAGGCAGATCCCATCTTGTACCGGTGCAGATTAAACCCCATGTTTTCAATAGGATTATATGTGCTGACATGAACAACTTATCAGAAAAGGAGTTCCCAGACAAAATGCAACTTATATCTGAATGACAATTCTTTTTGTATTAATATCAGCTGCATATCACATCAATTAGTTGCAAAACCACTTTTGTTTATACATTTTTATATGAACCATTTAAACATTTACAATTTAACAAAAGATATAATTTCTTAGATTCATTTTCTCTAACTGTAATTTTATTTGTCAAAAGAATTATTGCTAGGTCTGATTTTGTAAGTTTTATGCCTGTTAAAAATCCACATAATGTTAAAGTTGTGCAGTCCGGGACACAGCCGCATAGCTATATCCATGTGAATCTAAATAGCTTTTCCCAGAGCATCACCTTTAAACATTGTTGCCTTATTTCTTCGAGAAAGATGATAAAATCCCCATTTTACTCCAAAATCAGACTTAAGCATGATTAGAAACTTGTCAAGTGCCATGAGCATCCAAAATTGTCGCAACATGTATTTAATGTATAGTATTGACAAGCATGTGCAATCTGTATGCATCTAGATTGTTATTTGTGCAAAAACGTGCAGACCCACTCTGCCTTCACGTGCAAATCCATACTGTCTTCAGTGAGGGTTTTGTGGTAGTCACTTAGGGCAGAATCTGGCCTACATTCACCTTCTTGGTACTTAAGAGACAAGAAGAATTATCAACTACTATCTGTTAAAAGGCCCAACTGTAGAATGTTTTAGTAGAAAAATAAACATTTTAAGTTAATGGCAGATAACATTAGTGCAATTATTTTGACTGCCTTACTTTCACACAGTAGATTAAAAAAATATATTGTCATTTGTGAAAAGAACCTAAGACACTTCAGAAGCAGTTATGTAGCTGCCAAATAAAGGGAAAAGAGGAGCAGATTCTGTGACATGCTATAACCACAGCACTTACTTTATGCAGCTCTCAATGCTTGGTGCCTTTTAATGCTCCAGAAAACAAAATCCAAGGCTTGTAAACTAATTACAGTTCTTCCCATACAAAAATATATCACTTATGTGATTTTCAAAAGGCTGATTAACTGCTAACTAGAAAGAGAACATTTTCATATTCAGCTATATCCTAGATGACATCTGGATCAACTTCTTTCTTTGAAGAACCATTTTTGGTAGTCCGAGTTGGTACACGGTCGTAATAACGGTGCTGGGTTACCATCGTAAGCGTTTGACTTAGCTTGTACGCACTTCTGGGTGTGTAGATGAAACAAAGTACCGTCCTACAGAAGACAGAAATAATTTTTGCTTTTCAGGTCTTAAAAGTTACTTTTAAAAACACAGTGATATGCCTGTAACAGAAGACATTTGTAACAAATATCACACGCATCCTTCTCATGGGGCCATGCAGTGAAGCCAAAATGCCTAACTTGAGGATCTCTGAAACTTTATCAAAAGACCCTGGTTTTAAACTTACATTAACACTGTTTTAGAGTGATTCGTGCCTGTAAAGGATGTGCTAACTTAATTCGCTTTCATTGCCTTTTGTAACTGCACCAGAATACGGGCAGAGAAAACCAAAGCCAAGTACAGGCACTGCCCAAATTCACCAACTTACTGCACATCTTGCAAGTAAAATGTAAATGTTGTTAGTTAAGTGTAGATGTCGGATATATTTTTAGCAAAAAATTTTCCCCTTTCATCACAGGGTATATTTTTAGTGGAAAAGGCAAAATAATCTAAGCGTGCCCCTTGCCTGCACGTGTGTGAAGCTAGTTTGCTTTGCTGGAGGGCAGCACAGCTGCCTCAGAGGTGTAAGGTTTGACAGGCCTCCACAATCAGATTCCCCAGAGAACATATTTTGAGGCCTCAGGCCCTCCTATTACGGGACTCTCCAGGAACATTTTGTCTCCAGTTCACATCACTCGCTCCAATCCGGGAGCGCTGTCAACTAGGATAGCGAGCTGCAAAAAATCAGCGTGTCCAACTGTGGAGAAGTGCCCTGCTCCAAGACCCTTCCTTCCCAGGTGACACTCCCACACGTAACCATTTCCAAAACCTCTGACGGCCTGAAAAGAAAAACGCCAACACCGTGTTTCTAAGCCTGACTCCTCTGAAAGTCTGCTCTTCCGTCATCAGGAAAGTCGCACTAATTGCGCCTCGAGCCGCAGCCCCTGATGCCCAGTGGTGTGCACTTGCTCACAGGCTTGCTGACAGACTTAGCTGCTGAATGATTTTCCTGTTTCCGTCGTGATAACTCAAATTTTTGAGTGGACTAATCAATATTTGCCTCACTCATTTTTGACTCACTGACCGTAAGAACTTAATTCTTGCCAGGCTGCCGGGGAAGATGTTCAAATCTTTGATTATGCTACATCCATAAGGACAGCTTTTCCAGTGTCTGACACTTCTCCACACAAAGCAAGAGAAATGCGGTACTGACACCTCACCCATCACTCGCCTTGAAAGGTGGGGACTGGTGATTTTGATTTAATGCAATAGAAGAAGAGGAATCGGAGCAGAGCAGTACATTCAAATCACACACGGACACAAACTGATCATGAGAAAGAAAGAGAATTCAGCATCTGAAACTTTAGGAATTATTTTAAAAGTTAATGGTTAGGAATGCAGTAGAAACAGATGTATTCCCAAACTGTGTTCTCTCAGTTATTTCCTGAGGTGACTGAGGTTCACATTCAATATATGTCATCTTAGGGATTAACGCATATGACCTTGAAAAATTATGTTAAAAGTCAGCATTAAAAATGAAACGTCATTTATAAAGTCAGACTTTTAAATATTTTGTTTTACTCAGTAATATCAGTCTGGACTAGATTTAGTGAATGGGCAGTAGTTTTCATATTTTTCTTTAGAATTTACTCTGCCACCTATCACTGGTGGTAATATATAGGCATGAAATTTGTCAACCGTGGAGCCTGTAGAGTTTAGATGCATTATGCAGACACATTATGTAAATATACCGTTTTGATATATTATGTGACCTTTTCCCTTAGCCAAATAATAACACTCCAGAACCCGACCAAGACCATCATTTTTCATTGAATTTATTTTCTCTCAGGCATCCAGGAACTCCTTCAGAGATTAAAAACTACTAAATACAAGGTTTTCTAAGATCACATGTTATGTTTATTAATGTACTTCATACTTCTCAGTATTTCTCCCCTCTGGGAGTAGGCATTAAGCTTGAAGAAGAGAGGTACAGATTTGAGTCCCCACAGCCAGTAAGATGTGTCCTGTGGAGGAGTAGGAGTAGGGCAGAAGGTATTTTTTGATCATAGAATCATTTAGGTTGGAAAGGACTCTTAAGATCATAAAGCCCAACCATTAACCTAGCACTGCTAAGTCCACCACTAAATCATGTCCCGAAGCACCACGTCTACACGGCTTTTAAATACTTCCAGGGATGGTGACTCAACCACTTCCCTGGGCAGCCTGTTCCAATGCTTGACAACCCTTTTGGTGAAGAAATTTCTCCTACTATCAAATCTAAACCTCCCCTGGCACAACTTGAGGCCATTTCCTCTCGTCCTATCGCTTGTTACTTGGGAGAAGAGACCGACACCCACCTCGCTACAACCTCCTTTCAGGTAGCTGTAGAGAGCGGTAAGGTCTCCCCTCAGCCTCCTTTTCTCCAGGCTAAACAACCCCAGCTCCCTCAGCCGCTCCTCATAAGACTTGTTCTCCAGACCCTTCACCAGCCTCATGGCCATTCCCTGGACACGCTCCAGCACCTCGACGTCCTTCTTGTAGTGAGGGGCCCAAAACTGAACACAGTATTCGAGGTGCGGCCGCACCAGTGCCGAGTACAGGGGCACGATCACTTCCCTTCTCCTGCTGGCCACACTATTTCTGATACAGGCCAGGATGCCATGGGCCTTCTTGGCCACCTGGGCACACTGCCGGCTCATGTTCAGCCGGCTGTCGACCAGCACCCCCAGGTCCTTTTCCACCAGGCAGCTGATGATGGTGCATCAAATTACACAACTGCACATTACATTGCAGAAAAGCTCAGGGAGCACTTCTGGTGCTCATGGGGAAGGCCAAGAGAGATGGTTTGCAGAGAAGCAGCAGCTGCTCGAAAGCACAGAAGAGTGTAAAGTAATGGTGGTATGTGAAGTATCAGGGATACATGGTGGTATAAATACCAGGAAATAAAAGAAGTCGATGAAAGGAAAGCAAAAGTAGGCCAGCCACGAGACTGGCTGGGGAAGGGGTATGGAGGCACCTTAGTTCTCAGGAGAAGACAGTAGGGGTGGGATGTGAGAGAGAACTGAGCAGCACACAGAAAGCTCTTGATGTGGACAGGGCGAAGAGAGAGCTCTGCCAACCTTCCCAGCTCCCTTTGACATTAAGAAGGGCGCTTTCCTTCCTCTCATCTTCCTATTCTTTATGACTGGCACACTCTTTACCTGTGTGCTGCTGCTACCCTGTTCCATGTTCAGATATTAAAAGCCAAGATAGCGTATTTCTCCCAGAGATTTACGCTGATGTTGTGGCCTGCATGATGTGTGGGCAGAAAGATACAAAGAAAAAAACCCAACAATTCTCCTCCCACCCACTCTCTCCCCCCAAAAACCCAACAATTCTCCTCCAACTCCCAAAAAACCAAACCCCAAACCAAGCAGGCACACTTACCTCTCTGAAAACAAACTTCTGGTTTTCAGGAATACTGTGGACATTTTCTTGACACAGGTACATTGTCAAGTAGTCAGTCCCTGAATCAACTGCTGCACAGACTTCTGGCTGTCGGGTGTTGTAACGTATTTCATTACGGGATGTGTACTCGAAAAACTACAAACCCCAGAGAAGAAACAAAGGACAATATCCATTTCATATGTACACAAGAAAGTATTTATATGGAAGATACACTAAGATACTATAATTAAGTTCACATATTAAAGTTGCTATTGTGGAGAGAAATTCTGCCAAAAATATTCAAGGAGCCTTAACTGCTGCCGTTTGCTTACTATTTTACAGAAAATCAATCTCACCACAGCACTGCTTTACTCTGGTAGCACTTAAAATGTATGAAATGCTAAATAAATGCCCTGGAAAACAGACGTTCCAGCATTAAAGAACTTACAAAATTTGACTGTAATATTCTACTTTCACATTCTAGATTACCCTTAAAAATAGGATGGAAACTAGTTTATAGCCTGACATTATGCCTTCTTAATTCAGTTGTCACAAAACAATGTTACTTTTAATTAGGGAGTTGCTCACTGCATAGTTCAAATGCAGTTTGCTCAAGGTTCGTTTCCAGTTACAAAGTACTCAGGATGCATGGTGATGAGCATTTTATTATATAACATTTTAAGATATTACTTGAAGCAAATCAGCTACAGCTGCTTTTAAACATGAACAGAACTTTATTGAAGACAATTTACTGACTTTGCTTGTTGTACAATATTCTACAGAGGTGTTGTGAACATGCTCTAAAACATCTTGGCTTTTGTAGCAATTATGGTTGAAGACTTCCTCAAAATTTTTATATTTATCATGGACAGTTGCCAAATTTTGGACTTCATTAAAAAGTGGCAGAGTTTGAGAGTTGTTTGTATTTAGCATGCTTGTAAATAATTTAGATGACTATAGTGCACGGATGTGTGTTTAGATCTGATTTAGATTATACTCAGTAGGGTAGAGGAGAGTTTTATACACATCAGAAAATTGCTTGTTACCAACAGTATAGCTGCATTAGTGGAAAGCAATAAAAGGATGAGGGAGAGAAGGAATCCTCCTTTGTCTTGTTTCACCCCTGGAGAAAAAGAGTGTAAGGCTTTGTGAAGGGGGCTGTACCAATTCAGAAATGTTGCATATACTTGAACTTACCACAAAACCATCCTTAGCAACCACGAAGGCTAATTAACCTTGAAAGAAAAACTGGAAATGGCGTTTTAATGGAATCAAGACCATGTGATTATAAAGGCTGCAGTCATCCATTTCCAGGTGTAAGCTCTGATCTAGACTATGCTGATGACAGTTGTTTCATGAAATCTCCTCTGCCCCTCCTTTTATCACAGTCAGGAATTTCTTTGCCAAGGCAGCTGTCGCAGCCATACACAGACCAATGTTGTCAGCTTGTGGAGCTCCATGGCTTTTCTTTGGGCAGTGATGCAAGTGACACCACCACCCCCCTCCCCCAGAACTAACCCGTTCACCATCATCCATTTGTGATAAGCTGCAAAGGCAAGTGAGTGTTTTGAGAAAGCAACTTCAAGTTTGAAGTCTACCTGCTGACATAACACCCAGGAGACTCAGATTTCCCCTTGAAACCTATGGCTAGGAACTGTTTCTATGATGTAGGCTGCACTGCCTTTACGACATTTGCTCTATGCCAGAAACGCCTCATCATCAACAAAAGTCAAATGTGATCATATAGGCCAATTTTTTTTTTTATTATTACTATTTTTTACCCCAGTAGGCAGGGGCTATTCCCTGGCCTTCAGGCTTTAGTTCCCAGGTTCAGTGTCTGACTGGCCCATGGAAAGCCTGCTACTTTGGGCACCACAGTGAGCTGGAAGGGTGCTCATTTTAAGGCTATGACTCATGAATAAAGAAAAAGCTTCATTCCTTTTTTTTCACTTTTTTACAGCTGCCACTTCTACGAGGCCACATTTACAGCCTTGCTCATTAGTGGATTTATAAGACATAACTCTTTTTAGCAATTTGTATTCAATATCAGTGAAAGCCTGCAAGCTGCTGATTGTACCAGGTGCATCAAGAGTAGATATAGCAGGTACTAGGTCAGAGCGCTCCTTACTACCGACATCTTTCCTGAACTGCCTCTCAAGGACTTGCATCAGATTTTGGAGGAGAAAAGCAAGTAAAATGGTTAACTCCTGGATAACATTAAGGATTGGGGTTATAGTATTATCAACCAAACACCCCTGCCTCCTTGCCCAATGAACATTATACAGTTCTTTACCCTATACTGTTTCAAACGGAATAAATACTTCAAGCTTTGGGCTTTTTCAAGCTCCAGTAATACATGAGGTAAATCTCTTCCTCCTCAAACGGTGAAGTGTTTTTTAGTGCTCTTTCCTTGCCCAGTGGGTTCTGTGGGCAGAAAGGAAGCATTTTCAAACTGATCCACGGCCCAGTAACTAGTAGCCTTACTGCATTTCTTTCCTTCAGAGAACAAGTAGATTCCCTTAAGTGCTACTGGGAAACTTGATGAGGCCTTTTACCCAGTGCCTACTGCTTCTGGGCGATCTAGGGAATATGCCCCAGCTGCATCAGTGCTTTGTGGTACAAGGACGGAGGCAGATTTTGGCTACCTCACCAGACCCTGAAACACACTCTCATCCTTCTCTGTGCCTGGGTACCGCTATTCTGCACACAGGAAGAAGTTTGCACTGGACAGGTACTTTCTGGGTGGGAGAACCAGCAGTGAGGTTATCAGGTCTGATACCCCTTTCACAGAAAACCTGAGGGCTTTGCTAAGCTCTCTGTTTGCCTCAAACCTATCAGCTGCAAATGGGAATACTGGGGGGGTACCATCAGACAAATCGGGCTGCTCAGTGGTTTCCCATCCTCTTACCATGTCAGGTCGGCTTCCTGCCATCACACGTTGGTCCCCTCTGTACTGCTTCCCAGCCATACCAAGAAGGGCAATGGGCTTTACTGGTATTGAATTTCAAAGCCTTTCATTCTTGTCTACCGGGGCAGACACTTCCACAAAACATCAGCAGCCTGAGGTGCAAGCACCGAGTAGCCAGTGTTTTGCGTATTTTCTGCCTCCCTTCCATATATATTCAGCTCCTATCACCGCAGTTGTATCCTTACCTTCTTGCTATAATGAACACGCTAATTTTAAACAACCCACAGTTACCTTTCTTACTGCTTACACAACAGCAATCCAAAAGGACTAAGGGGAACCTTCTCACTTATGCCATGAATTCAAGGAAAAATAGAAACAAATTACCAGGGACCTCAGTTTTCTGAGAGTGGTTTTACTTACTAAGAGATAAAATGGGAGCAGGTGCTGGACTTTATAAATAATCAAGAGCACAGAGCTCTCTCCTCCCGGCACAGTGCACACAGATATTCAGAGGTCACGTTAAGTGGAGAATTGCTTCCAGTGAAAAGAGCTTTTGCAGTTGTCCCCTACATAAACAGCCACCTGCCACTAGCATATCATGCCAGAGGGTGGGTGTGCTGGAATGTAAGACACATACTGCTGACCAAGATAATCTTCATTAATGTTAAATCCTATCAAGATGTTTTTGGAGAATAACTTTACTGAGCTGTACTCTGGAGAATAAACTTCACTCCTTTATACCATGAGGCAGTATGAATGTGCAGCAGGGAGTACTATTTGAGGAAGAAAGTGATGAATGGTGGAGCAACCTCAGCAACTGGAGGAAGGGATGAGAAGGAGAAGACTAGAGGATTAAAAATGGGAGCCAGCCAGGAAAGAAGAAAGGCATGTGAAAAGGAGCAAAATGTGACCTAGTGTGGGTAGTAACTGGTGGGAGGAGTAAGTGAGGGAAGAGACAGAGCAAGGGCATTAGAGAAAGACTGGGAGCCAGCCGGCATGGAAAAGAAAGTGTTAAATAGCATGTAGTGGAGAAAAGGGAGCTGTCTGTGACATGTGGTGCAAGACAGGGTACTGGAGCAAAGCTCTGTAATGAGGGTTTGCTGCTAAAGCTATATATAGGTAATGAGTGGAGTGATGAGAACAGACCGGAGGAGAGCAGGCAGAAGAGCTTGGGATTAAGATGGCAGATTCCCTTCCAAGGACAAAACAGAAGTTAAGGGCTGCCTGTTGTCAGTAAACATCTGTGAAACCCTGGTGAAGTGCCTTGCTCTCCTTAGCGTTGATACAACTAGAGGATGACCAACCTTGTCACCATCAGTTCCATCAGCTGACAGCAGTGGATGTGCATGTGGCAGATTTGACTGTTTTGGTCCTGCCACCGTCACCTGCCAACTGAGCTAAGGAATTCACACCACCAGGAGCAGCCTGTTACCTTTTAAGAACAACTGTCGAAAGGGTGGGGGGACAGGAAGGAAATGGAGAGAAATGTCCTGCTGGTAGGTTTCACGGCTATTTGTGAGCCAGAAAAAGGAGGTGCAAGTTCAGCAATACTGACTTGCATTTCCCATCTCACTTGTGCTTCTACGTCTTGTCTTATTTTAGCCTCCCTCTGTTCCCCCACCTGCAGCTCTTCCTGCTGTCCACTTCTCTTGCAACTACTACCTGTCACCCCTACTCACACCTCCATTTGCCAATTGGTATCTCTGCTCCCACATTCAGTTCCCTGCCCCTTTCCACTAAAGGGGTCTCCAGTGATTCTGCTTGTTTCACGCTCCCTCCCTGTAGTTCCTAACTACTCCTTCCTCTGTCGCACATGCCCTGCTCCTTGCCTGTTGCCCTACCTCTGTCCCAAACTACTTCTCCCCTCTGTCACCTTGGCCCCCTTTCCCTGGCTCCTGTCAGCCCTCCCATGCCTTTTGCCCATTTCACTAATACTGTTTTGCCCATTTCCTGTGCTCGGCCTTCCCTCCTCAGTCTCTGCAATTCTCTTGTGTCATCTCATATTTTCTTTTATCGGTTTACACTACAGTCAGGTAGTTTCCCCATTTCTCCCTCCTCCTGCTCCCTGGATGCCAGCAGAGGGAGCACTAATTGCACAGCTCCGAGAGCATTGCTGCTGTCAGTCTGGTGCCTGCTACCACAGGTACGCGGATGCATCGCACGTCGGCAGAGATGTAAGAGCATTATTATCCCGTGATGTGATATCTTTGCAGTAAATTCAGTTAATCTTTTAGTGCTCGCTAAACAAAGGATAACTTTAAAAATGTAATCTCATAAGAACTATTTTCCTATGAATTATACTTTTCTTTTGCTTTCACCTTTTACCCTATGTCTGACCGCAAGAGACATAAAAATTAAAAGCATCCAGTGTGAGAATCAAAATTAGACATAAGATCACCTCACTGTGGCAACATATCCTCTAAGCCCTACTGCAATGCTTTTTACCATACTTTTTACATTACAACCACAGCATTAGTCAAAGTGAAAATAAAACATGAATCTTACCTGATTTTGTCCCATGCCATGACATGGGTACAGTATGATCCTGTGTCCAGTTACTTGATGTTCATTTGTAGGGTTATAATCAAAACAGAAGTTTGCCATTCCTCTATTCTTCAGCTAGTCAAAACGAAAGAATATTTTAAAGTATTAATCTAAAGTAAGATAGATATGCTGCAGTCACTTTACACCCATCCTGCTGGGCTGTGAGGTTTATATCCCAGAGCTGGTTCAAACTAATTGGAATAGATCAAATGGATCTAATGGCAACATCTCTCTCAGACTAATGTGAAATAAAACTGTTGGGGCCGTCTTGACTTTGGGCATTGAAGCAGCCAGACACGATAGCTTCCTCTAGGAGTAACATCGTGTTCCAGTGTATTTGCAAATGAAGTAGGTAGGAACTATGAAAAGCTGTGCTGAAACCCAATAAGCCAGCAACTCATGCAGAACAAAAGAGCCGGCCATGACTTTAACTTCCCCCCCCCAGGATCCACTTGTTCATTTTTTTTATGAAAAGAAGACTACATACTTTTCTCAGTTCGTCAAATGGGAGATGTTAGAAGGATTTGTCCTTGAAAGGACTCCAGACCCTCCTGAGGTTGAACAAGCAGTCAGATTTTAAGACCAGAAATAAAGAAACTGAGTAGGATTTATCTTTGGAAAGAAACACTAGACATGCTTTTACAAGTTCTTTACTAGTGTTGCTGATCTCTGACACAATAGTTGCATAACTTTTAGATTAAATTTTAAAATATTAAATTACATGATTTCAAAAAATCAGGCTAATTAACAAGGATTTGCATTTAAGTATTCAGGAGGCAAAAGTAACTGAAAATAAGTTACACAATGCTGTAACAGTTACTGACTCCTAGTATTAGCCACTTAACCAAATTTAAAATTACACAGAGCAAAACAGGTTCTGCAAACATAGGTTCAAGCTGAATGCCCCTGTTATTGAGTGTAATTACATCGCAGACAAAAAGAATAAGCAGAGTAAATCGCAGAAGAGTTACTTCAACAAGGTGTAATTTCAATACTCTTCCCTAGTCGTGATAATTGTATCCTCAGTTCTTAATGCGGAGAATGAACGGACACAAAGGGATTGCAGAAGGCTAAAACCAAACAAACAAGACAAACCCTGCAGGACCCAAACCCACAACACAGCAAACCACACAAGTTGGAAAATTAAATACTTGTGTTCTACATATATTTTGCTTTCCCAGCTTCTACTTTTATTGCCACCTGACGTCTTCTTTCCACTGCTTTGTGCCCACTCCCGCTGAAAGACAGCCAAGCTCTCGGCACTCTGCATGCCTGGGCTGCTGGCCCAAGACAACAGGAATACACTGAGGGGCTGGGGAGGACCACCAAGCCGCCACAGCTTGGGGCCCCTTGCAGGGCTGCTGGGGCTGTGAGGCTCTCTTGTTGGAGCCAAATGTATAAATGTAGGACTGAAGCCCTACCCTTACAGGCTTTGCCTCTTAATTCCTCTCTGAACATGTTTCCACTATGCATTTGGTGTAATTTTTCAGTAAAAGATAAAGTAACATCCGAATTTGGTGCATGATAAAATTCATCCTTAGTTTTAGTGTCCAAGTTTACCAGAAGCAAAAGAAATCCCCTGGGCACCCTTTCTACAGAAAACGTTGCTTGGTTTGATGGGAACACGCTAGACCACTGCACCCCTCCCCGAGCTGTCAAAAGAAGACATTTTGTTTACCTTCATAACACTAGGCAAGAATTACACTTACAAAAACAGGAAAGAAAAGTATCTTTTACAGATGATTTTTAACACTACCGTGGAACTACATAAACCAAACAATAAGCTTCTCATGTTTCTACATTCTACATCAAGAAATGTCAACTTAAGTCACAACCACTCAAAAATGGTAATTGTATCTCTAAAACCATAAATCAGTTTCGGTTGTTGTGAGCGGCTCTCCTCAGGGTCAGAGGGTCTCTCATTAGTATGTTTAACAACATATGACTTTGCCTGACTGTCTACTGGCTCCAAGGGAAGATGAAACATAGCAAAGCACTTTTCTGTGGTGCCCTTCCAGACAACCCGACGCCTTCGCTACCGCCCTGAGCGTGCGCTCTTCGCTGTCAGCCCCTGGCACGTGCTCAAGCACATGCTCCCTTTTGTGGCCTGGAATTTTAAATAACCTATTTTACAATGCCATGCACCACCAGAACTACTGTAACTCTCCTATGCACATTACACAATGCCCAAATACAGACAACAAACCAAAAGCTGTGTAAAAGATTACTAACTTAAGCTTCATTTCAGATGGTTTAAAACTGAGCCTGTACTCCCAGGATGCTACCACATATGTTCTCTCATTTTTCTCTTTCATGCATAAATGCTTGTGATACGTGCAGGCATATTCCTAAACATACATGGTCCATATTTCAATCTGGTTCTTTAGTTTGTTTTATCAGACATCGGTAGATGTTTTTAACACCCATGCGTCATCAGGAAGCCTAATAGATATTCAAGACCTAATTTGTGGGAATAGTGCATACTAAGCTGTTAAATGACCTGATCTGAAATGACAAAGATTTTAAAATAATCAAATTTCAATATCTGATCACAGCACCATTTATGCAAAAAAAAAAAAAAAATCCGCCCTCCATTCCAAGGCAGAAAAAAGTATGAAAGAATTTGTGAAAGTAGTATTTTTCTCTTGTCAAATGAGAATACACAGTTTAAGTTCCTTTTACGTACAACAGCTCTATGAAAACACTAATCATCCATTCATTTCTGAAGCTACCTTTGTTCCCATATCCACCATCAACAAGTCATGCAATAAGAACAAAATTTTCTCCGTGACTTACCTTAATTCTTCTGCAGAATGCTGCATTAAAGAAACAGAAGCGAGAAAAACATTGATCACCTTGCCATTAAAACACATAATTCAGTTCTAAAAAGTTCTGCCCATGCAGGATTACTGGCTGTGTCTTTCTACAACTTTTGCCTCCTATTGAAATGTTGCAGGTGTATTCCACTGTGCCATTTAGAATCATAGAATCGTTAAGGTTGGAAGAGACCTCCAAGATCATCGAGTCCAACCGTCAACCCAACAACACCATGCCCACTAAACCATGTCCCATGTCCCTAAGCATCTCATCTACACATCTTTTAAATACTTCCAGGGATGGTGACTCAACCACTTCCCTGGCCAGCCTGGTCCAATGTTTAATCACTCTTTCAGGAAAGAAATTTTTCCTCACATCCAATCTAACCCTCCCCTGGCACAACTTGAAGCCATTTCCTCTCGTCCTATCGCTTGTTACTTGGGAGAAGAGACCAACCCCCACCTCGCTACAACCTCCTTTCAGGTAGTTGTAGAGAGCGATGAGGTCTCTCCTCAGCCTCCTTTTCTCCAGGCTAAACAACCCCAGTTCCCTCAGCCGCTCCTCATAAGACTTGTGCTCCAAGTTACCCTTTAGTTACCATCATTAATTACCGTTCTGCTTGGAGGCTGGGACAGGTACTGAACAGCAACTACTGCGATATTCACCTCAAACCTTCACTCCTTACTCCTTGGAAAAATTTAAATCTGTTGTTTCCTAACATCTGGACACTTGCATAAAACAACACAATACAGATGGCATTCTGTAAATAATTCTTTGATTTTTTTTTTAAGATAAAATCCATTTCATATAACTGTAAGCAAAGCATCAACAACAGATTTTTGACATTAGAACTTCATTATATTAGTTGATAAATACAGCCAGTGGAGCACAGCCAACCTTTCTCTTCACCCACAAAATAGATCAGAATCCTCTTTGTTCTGCCACAGTGGCATTGGTGCCGATGCATTAGTGGTATAGGCAGATGATACCGTGGGACACAGTAAGATATGAATTTGTAGCAAGCCAACAGCTTCATGGTACTGACCAGGCGTAAGCTTTTACCTCAAAGGTAATCCCAGCAGTCACAGGGAATGATTTTACTGACTGTATGCTATTTTCATATCACCCTTTTTGGAAAAAAAAAAGTGAATATCCTCAGATTTCTGTTAACTTCTTAAGTGCAATGCTGAAATGGGTATACAACGATGATGACTAAGATCCTTTGAAGGAATCAATGATGAGACACTGCTGTTGGAATTCGGTTGCTCACCCCAGCAAGTCCAGATCTCCCTGGGAGGCTCGAGAACATACAAGCACATGTCTCAAGCGATGGTGTGTTCACTTGAGATTAATATCAACCACTTGAATTTCTCCCACTTCCTTTAAAAAAAGTCTGTCTCAAGCTTTCAGAGGCTGTACAGCCAATGGAGTGGTGCACATTCTCCTGCGATGGGCATCAGATCTCCAGGTCTAGTCAGCCATAATCTTGGGTACCAATTCAATCTCCCTACAGGAAACCGCAGCTCTACAAATTGTATTATAATGCAGTTTTAGAGGTATACCCTAGAGGAGGCTGTTTTGGAGCCTGATACCTCTGAGAATTTGTAGCACCTGACATGCAGTAGTCTTTTTGATTACATAACTGAAACCACATAGCTAAGATCTCTTCTTCTGTAAGCCTGTCCATATATATATCATGTGTTATTTAGATAATTTACAAAATGTTCTCTTTCATGTCACAACAAAACAAAATTCTTCATAGTTTTAAAGGCTTAAAGTCTTTCTTCCTGATTTTTTTTTTTTAAGGTTATATCTGGTCTAAATTAAAAGAAAATTATGACTAAGCGTTTGGAAATTAATTGAAGATGAGATGGTCTTGGGGGAAAATGTGGAAGGAAGCTGCCAATAGAAAAATTCAAGTCTTCAATTCATCAATCTCCCAACTGATTCAGCCAGTTGCAGATGCCTTTAAGGATAGGTGGTGAAAAGAGCCATCAGCTAGAGAGTCACAACAGACATCTATCAGCTTAGTTGCTTCACATTCAGCTGGAAGAAAGATCAGCTAGAAACTTTAAGAAGAACAAAGAACTTCTTCTCGTATCAGAACATAATACGGTCTCACTGCCTAGTGATCAAACTTACAGAAAAGGAGAGATAAAATCCTGAGTTTTGTGTCAACACTGTCTTTTAAAACCAATCTGGATGCCAAGTTCAAAGCCAAATTCGCTGACTGACCGTAATCTTTATCCTCAGATATGCACCCTGAATGCCAGCAATACTTAGTATACCTTAGAGGGGAGAGGAACCCTGACTATTCCCTTGCTTTGCAGCCATGCATTTCCACAGTCACCAATAACATGAAAAGATCACAGAGCTGCCCAGCTCCTCTATCTTCACCTAGCTGCACAATGCAGCAATGTCACAGTACCAGTATTAAACACACAAGATGGCTCAAAGTTCTTCCTATAGGTGCCCACACCATCCCTTCCCAGGGCAGCCAAGATTTTTAAGCAGACCTAGTTTGGAGTATCTAGGTGGGCAATCTGCACAGACCTGGGGTTCAGGTCTTTTTAAGATTTCATACCAGCTGAGGCACAAGTACAGTGTATACTTTGCCGGTAAGTGCATGCTCAAGGATGGCCAAATCAGATGCTATGCCAGAAAAAGAGACATCAGTGCTCTACACAAGAACCTAAAAGGGATTATCAGCCTTTCCAGAAATGCTGACATCATCTTATTTTAACCCACTAAGTGCCTACCAGCTTCGCTCTTCCCGCCTCCCAATAAATTACTGAAGTCAGAAGGTTTAGTTCATGTCCCACACAAAGTTCCAAAGCTGCATGTAGCCCAAGAGCAAGTAAGAAGATATTTCCCTCATTTCTAGGCCTCAGGCAGTTTATAAGAATGCAATCATAGCTCAGGCAAAAATATTTAAAATTCAGTATGTTTAAATAAAGTTTTAGGCAGCTAACTTTTTAGACAACCAAGCTTAGTATAGACATTTTTATCTACGTATCAAGAGAAAAAATTTAGCACAAGTGCCCATTTGTCAGTGCATGGCACTGAATGCTGCTCAATAATTCTTGCATTTATTTCAATAACATATGGCTGACCTATGGGTAATCTCAGAAAGATTTTCAACTTCAGTGTAAAGATTTTCAAGGGAGGGAGAAATCCCCATATTCCTTTGCAGTCTCTTTGAACAATTAAATAACCTCACACTAAGCCGAGCTGTTAACAAAGCTGACACTTTTAAACACAGTGTTTTTGTGAACCAGAAAAGCACTACACGGCTAAGGCAGGAGTAAAGAACATGATCAATGATTCATTGAAGTTAGCAGATGGGACTCAATATCCACAAATCAGTTTAATCAGTAGGTGTCATTTTTGCACTGTCACTTTCTTAGAGTATAACTGTACTTTAATAACATTTTAAATTCTTCCTGCCAAAAAAATGGTGTATTCTTATTATGCTCACAACCAGATGACAGCATTTAAGAACTGTTTTTAGAGAAATATAGAGAGCACACCTAAATTACGCTGTAGATACCTCAAGCAGCTCTGAACAAGAATTATTATTTCTAGGTATTGTCAACACCTTTCTTGAGGATGACATGTGCAGTTAAATCGTGAAAGAAACTGCACAAATCCCTTCCCCTCCCTAGGAGGCTGAAGCGCTATCACCGCCACCAGTCTAGGCTTTCTTTTGGAGGGTGAAGGATGGAGGTGGAGGGGAGGATAAGGTTACTGAAATGCTCCCGGAAGGTAAGTCTTATAATGTCTTATTGCTTCAACTGTGTCGTCGTTTAACTGTCTCTGACCTTGTCAACTAGCGATCCAGCACAAAACAACGAAAAACGAACCAATGTTGTACCGGGGTCTGTTCAAGGTACTGGATAATGGTGGATATTACCTTTCATGCCAGTGATCACAGAGCTACCAACTCAAGTGGAAGCTCCAAGACCGATGGAGGAGGGTGGCTGCTTTCCCAGAGGCTCCTAAGGGCTTTGCTGCCAACTGATGCACTCCCTATGGGAGCTCCTACAGCTCCCCGTGGGAAATACAGCTCCCTATGGGAAACGGCAGTGTTTCCACATTAGGTTCTTTTTCGTTCGACAGGTAACAAAGGTACTAGGGAAGACTGTGAGGAGACTCGGTTCCTGTATGTTTTGTACGCCCACAGTGATCAGGTTTTTTCCTCCACTGAAGGAGATCCAGCAGAGACTGAGTAACTGAAGCGCAGATGGCAGCAAGACAAGACTGTTGTGATACGGGCTGGATGAGATGCAGCAGTGTGGGAATGCAGCTTAGCTAGATCTGCAAAGCGATCGAGTTACCAGCAAAAGTACTTCTAAGTCAATGTGGCGTTGGTAATCAGGAAGGTATTTTATACATCTTTGCCTGGCAGAAAGGTGCAGTCTTGTCTTCCTAATGAGACATGCAGCAGGTATCTGCCGATTTTTCAGAGGAAGCAGGTATTTGCTGCATCATCTCTGCCTTCATCCCTTCCAAATGAGATTGCAGTCATGTGATATACATGGAGCTATAGTTTATATTTATTTGTAAGCTGCAAATAGCATAGAAAGTTGTCAACTCTTAAAAAAAGGAGAAGAGGATTCTGATATTGAACCAATGAAAATTGCTTGGGAACCTGTGCTGGTCTAAAGCGACCTCCAGATTAAAAATTAACGTGTTGGTTTTGACATACAGAATCCTCTATGATCTCGGAGCACGCAGCACCAGCTCTCTTTCCCATCACCAGAGCATCATCGTTTTCATCAGATAAAATGTGCAAATACATGTTTCAAAGCACACTCTTCCTATTTTCAAGTCAACAACTAATGACTAAAACACTTCGGTGCTCTCTTTTTTTGCTATGCAACGTTTCAAGAAATAAAAAAAGTCATCCTTTGCTGCCTTTAACACTCCCAAGATGTCACTTGGAAGGTGTAATTTATGGCAACGTTACCTGTTCTCCTACCCTCTCACAGAACTCCTTCATCAACAGCATCCCCTAGAATAAAGATTCTGATAGAAACCACATTTTAAAGCCTACCAATTCTAACTGAATTCTACCAAAATCCCAAACTGATTTTGGCATAAAAATACCTTCATACTGAGTTAGCAGGAGAGCTCAGAGAGGCGCGAGGAGGCCCCTTCTCAGCAGCCACGTACCATTCCAAAGAAGCCCGGTCTGTCCTCGGGTACGTGAAGCTCTGGGTACACATTCTCCAAGAACCATTTGAAGTCCTTACATTTCAGCTTCTCTCGAAGGAGTCTCCTTTCTGTCACATCTCCATATGGTTCCTGAAAAAAAAAAAAAAAGAAAAAAACGATTAAAAAAAAAAAACAACCAGAACAGATGCTCTCTTTTAAATTATCTTGTATACATTATTAGGAACCGTATGCTAAAGTGATGAGTAGGACTTTTAGCCAGGAAAAATCCCCATGTTTGGGTGCTGGATTTGATTTCAGTACCCTTACATTTGTTAAATGTTGACCAAAAAAAATTGGAATGGTGCACGTAAAACTTTAAAATATTCTAGAAGACAGTTCGTCTGAGAAAACTCCCCAAATCCGCAAGTAAGGAAATCCTTGAATACAGATTGCTAGGAACTGAGAAGGCATATCGGAAAATAAAACTTCATTTAGCTGGATAATTGAAAATCTCAAAAGCAGTGAATGAATCTTGAGAATTTTAGATTATTCCACCATCTGTTTGCAAATTACCTGTACAGACAGTTTTACACTTAGCTGATGACATTTGTAAAATCTCCTAATGTTTCCTTTGAACTTCATAGTTTTGGGGGGTGAGGAGTATGAAATCTTAAACCTCTAGAGAAAAGCTTTCATTGCAGACTTTTCCCTGTCTATAGATTGCAGCAGAGTTCACATCTCTTCATGTCTGTCTTCAAAAAAATCTATATATTGACATGGGGACTTCAGACAGTCAGGCATGAGATACCATTTGCAGCCCCCAGGTTTTTACAGGTCACTTGACACACTTTTGTCAAACCACAAACATATTTGCATTTCTCAAAGCTGTGGAAATATCACCGAAAACACAAAGCAGATGTAAAACAGAGGCAGAGATGCCTGCTTGAATAAACAAACAGCATGACGTATTAGCTCTGAGGTCTGAACATTAATCTTGAAGCGAAACTTTATGGAACCAAATTCTGCAGCCATAGCATCAATCATTTGTCCATTATGCTGTGGAACTGAATATTTGGGTTCGATGAAGTAAAAAGGTCTGAACTCAACTGCCGCAACAAGTGGTGCACAGAGTATTACGGAAACCAGAGTGCACTGGCGGCAGCTTTGATACATGCAAAAAACCGCACGAGTCTCAGCTTACATCCACTGTGTTACAATAAGCCAATATGCAAAACTTCCAATACTAACACACAAATATCCTTTAAAGTTCCGTCATCACAGACATCAACTGCGCAGAACTTTACAAGAAAAACTGTCAGCATTTATTGCTGTTTTCTCTTTGCATATGACAAGAAGAATCAGCCTGGCATTGCCTGGGAGCTCCCGTCTTTGGATACACAAACCCCGTATTTCTCTCAAAGTCAGACTCTAATAATAAAACCTAAATGGCTTTTATGATGTTTAAGTGAAACAATTATTACAAATGCCTACGCTATAATAATCTAATTACCCAGTTTCATCCAAAGGAACACGAGACGGAAGCTAACCAAACTCAGCTTCCCCAGTGTCCTCCAGCGTGTCTTTTAAAAGCGTAATGGTTTCAAGAGCATTTTTTTCCCCCAGCAAGTCTGTTGGGGTGGGTCACTCAAACGTGTGGGGAGCTCCCTGTCCCCCTGCCTGGTCCCTAAGCTCTGGTCCGGCATAGCCAGAGGTGGGTGCCCAGCAGCCCACCACAGAGCAGTTGACCCCATGCACAAAACCAGAAAGCCGGCACTCAGAAAACTTGCTGTGTAAAGAGAAGTGCCTGGGGAGATTAAGCACCTCCAGAAACAAGCAACAGCAGAGAGTGATTTCTTTTAGCCCTGAATTTTGGACTTTGTGCTAGAGGTTCACAGAAGTCATTTCTAGACATTGTGAGGATATTTCACTGTTATTGTCTTCCAGCCTACAGGCCCCTCACGATAAATATATCCAAGCTATTAATTTGCACACTACTTTACTGTTCTGACCTACTCAATTTTCATAGTATTTATCTCCTGAAAAATTTTGCCGACAACTGATCTTGTATTTTCTTCCTCATGGAAAATAAAAATATTAACTACTTTTTTTGAAAACAGAACTGGTACTTCAAACATTTGATTAGGAACATTTTCATCTGAGTTCCCAGGACTGATTTTAATTAATTTAATCTTCGCAATATTGATTTTGCATGCTTTTTTTTTTTTTTAATCAAACGTTGTGCAGCAGTAAATCAAACAGAAAAATCCATTTTGTCTTACGTCAGTCCAAAATTTTACAGTTATCACAAGACAGGTAATTTTGCTAAAAATTATTACCATGCTGTTCACTTAAAGATCTACCGTCCATTGAACTTTGTTGATTAACATTTGTTAATTGTGTGTGTCTTCTGTAACTCTTTATTGATAGAATCCTGTATCAGCTGTTTCACAGAAGCATACGTTTCATGCTAAACAGCTCCTCCTTACTTGGGTCACCTTGCTTAACTTTATTCTTTCATTTATTCATTCATTCATTTAATATTGACACAAATGTGGCCGCCTTCTAGTCTTACAGATTTTCTGATTTTTTTCAAGGAATTAAATATTAACTATATATACACTTATTCTGTGTTTGGGAAAACATTTCAGAAGAAATAAGAAATAAACATAAAAAGCACTTCATGTTAAATATTAGCTAAATTAATAGTTATTTCATTGAAAACAAATTCTACTGATATTCCAAGAACAATGGACTTGAACTCACCAGGCGAGCGTGTGGATTTCGGTGGTAATAAAGTTCTTTATATTCATCCATCCACACTTCAGCTGCACGCACACTGTTTGCCAAAGCTTTGGACCGTGAGTACGGAGCTTGTTTGGGGAAAACGTGGCCTACGTGTGAGCACGGGTGGATCTCAAGACTTCCTCCACACTGCCATATCTGAACAAAGAATTGACATTGCGCATCATTAATTTGACTCTTTGCAAGCAGAAGGATACAGTAACAATAAGCCTTTCTAAGGATAATACCTTCTCAAGAACAACACAGCATACTATAAGCAACACATACAATAATTTTGTGTCTCATTTGATGAATAAGCTGGATAAAATGACATCCTTGTGAACTCAGAGCAAATCACTGGGAGTTACAAGGAGATAACCCCATCTCTGGTTTTATCCGGTGTGCAATTATCCCTTTCTTAGCTTCACTTTCTCTGAAGGCATGATAAGAAATGGTCCACAATATTTCTGCAGGTCTAACTGTCGTCTACAATTCAAGTTATACAGGCATTATTGAAGAGGAAAAGAGGGGGAAAAGGGGGGAAAAGGGGGGAAAAGGGGGGAAAAGGGGAAAGAAAAGAGGAAAGAAAAGAGGAAGAAAAAGGGGAAAGAAAAGGGGAAAGAAAAGGGGAAAGAAAAGAGGAAAGAAAAGAGGAAAAGAGGAAAAAGAAAAAAAGAGGAAAAAGAAAAAAAGAGGAAAAAGAAAAAAAGAGGAAAAAGAAAAAAAGAAAGGCATGTTTCTTGTCCAAATTAACCATACAAATAGCCATCTCGGAAAGAAACCAATGACCGATAACTGATTTCTTACCAGAAATCTTTGCCCATATTCTACTGGAAAGCTGACCTGACAAAACGGGTAAGCTTGTCATATCATTGGAGAACGATAAGTTGTGTTCCCATTTCTATATTCACCATTTCAGAAGAGAGGCATGGGTGCCTGGTCATAACAATATAACTAACCTTTTTCATTGGAAAGCTGGGAAAGGAACCCCAGAGCCAACGCATGAAAAGAAAAAGCGAAGTAATTCTGTAACTAACTCACGGTGTCCAACCAACGTTAGTGACACAACCTCCCCCGTGTAAAGCGATATTCCTACCTGCTGTCAAGGAAGGTACTTGAACCTGAACGTGGAATTGGCAGAACTCACTCTGCCCTTGTCCTCATCCTCCTGCCTCTGGCTCCCCAGGTCAGGAAACCTACTTCCCTGGAGATAAAGCCCATAAATGACCACCAAGCAGCTACACTAGCCTCAGTACTCCGTGCAAATTTTTCTAATTATACGCTTCTCCTTTGAAAATGGTAGACTTTCGGCAGCTCATCCACACAGCCACTTTCCCATCATCTGTTCTAATCTCAAGTTTGATATAATGAAAGAAAAGCACAGCTAAGTATTTCCTATTTAATATTGTGCGTGACGACAATGTGGCAGACACCCTGTTTCTGAAGGGTGCCCAAAACAACATTTCTGAAATTTAGTCAGATGGGAGTAGGACATGTTGCTGCACTTGGACAAACTTGAGACTATCGCCAATGGCTCCGATAGACCTTCCACAGAAGTTTTTTGAGAACTGGCACTCCAGTGAGATAATTCTCATGTATTCAACCTTGCGTAGGTGGCAGCTCATCTTTCCTTTGTAAATGAAGGACAAGGGAAATTAGCTGAGATATGTTTAAGGGGTAGAGAGGTTTGCTCCCTGACAACCTTCTTGTATAGCACATACATTTTAATTACATGTTATTCAAATTAACACAGCAGGAGTGAAAGCTGTGAGGTAGCAAATAACAACAACGACAACAGATCAGTGATAGGTCTTGTCCCATCTCTCTCCCTGGGACTTTCAGGGATCTAGAAAGTCACTACAGATGAAGGCTTTCAGCATACACAAGATGGACGTTGTCTTCAGACTGCTAATTTTTTTTTTTTTTTTAAGTTACTTCTGATTTCTCTCAAATTTCTTAATTTAGAAATCAATGAATGTTGTCTCCGTTGTTTTGGATAATGATTTCAGACCTTCAGATGTGGCACAATACTGTGCTTAACAAAATTGTAAGCACTCTAATACACATGTTTACTTTTAAAACAAACAGTTTCCTTAAAGGTATAGGTAATTCATTATTCAACTATAGGGAGCATTGGATAATCTTTACTTCCTGGATTTAAAATTTTAATTTCTTGCTTTTCATGAGAGGTTTGTTTCTTCTTTTTTGTTGCTTTTTGGGGAAGCAGTATATTTGTCGTGTGAAGAGAAAGATGATTACAGGAATTATACAAGAAATCCAGAATTCTGTGCTGATCTTTTAAACAATTTGCATGTAAGTTACATTACTACCATTTTGAAAGCTGCTAAGAAACCAACTATCCACTTTCATTTTAAGACCTCCCTTTTTGTTTCAAAACAGTAGCTTTCTTACATTATTTCTATATCCAAGATTACTTTTTTAAAGTTGAAATTTATCATGCAAGATTTGTTTGTCAGCAAGTATTAAGCACCATTAAACTTATTAAAGTTTAACAATTTCCATATTTGTTAGATTCCATATAAGCATTTTTAATTGATCATAACTGTTTTGATCAGTCTGTTTTTAAACAAGATATGAGGAATGGACCATCAAGACTACCAAAGTAAAAATGTACAGTTAAGAAGGAAGCATATTTTTCTACTCTTCCATGATAAAGTCTGATTTAAATCTTACACCTGGCTTAGACAGGTGTACTCTGCGCTGGGTCAAAAACTGGCTGGACGGCCGGGCCCAGAGAGTTGTGGTGAATGGAGTTCAATCCAGTTGGCGGCTGGTCACGAGCGGTGTTCCCCAGGGCTCAGTATTGGGGCCAGTCTTGTTCAATATCTTTATCAATGATCTGGACGAGGGGATCGAGTGCACCCTCAGTAAGTTTGCAGACGACACCAAGTTGGG